GGGCCGATGGAAATTATCCAAAATGGTTAATAATAAAGCAATAAGCCACTTGAGGCTGTGCGGTACTGTGATTGTCTCACAGGGAAGGGTGTTGTTAGGCACGGCGTAAAAGCGGAGTAAAACCCCCTTCCCAGTGGTAACATCACTGTAATGCACAGCCTCAGGTGGCTTATTGCTTTTATAAAACGGTGGCCAACATGATAAAATACACACTTTTTCAGAAAAGAATTTTAGTTATTATTCATAATAATAAACATAGACATAAACAAGTACTCCGACAAGAAATGTAGTTCGTTTAGACTATGGTATCGTTGCTAAACAACCATGGACGCGTTCCGTCATCCATCGCCGTTCACCGCGGTCATTTCATGATTTTTTAACTTTTTGTCGTATAACAATAAACATATGATAACACAGCACTGTTTAATGCAGAAACTTTCACTTTATAAGAACTTTTTTTGTCACCAGATTAGCACCGCGAGTCTTATTTAGCACCAATCCAGCGGCCCCTCTTCTCACGCTGTGGCTGAGTCTCAAACGGCTCCCTGCTCCCTACATAGTGCACTACAGAGGAGTTTAAATACTGGATCCTGCAGCCCAACAGAGCAAAATACAGCTAAGAAACAGTCATGGAAAATGTGCTGTATATACATACAGCACCAAAAAGGTTCTGCTACCCTGCAGAACCCTTTTTGGTGCTATACAGAACCATTTTCAAAAATGTTCTGTATATATAGAACTATATACAACACGTTCTCCATCAATCTAAAGAACCATTTCACCATGCAAAGCACCATTTAAACACGCAAATGGTTTTATATGGAGCTCATGGTTCTAAGTAGAACCATTGCCTTTACTAAAGAACCCTTCTATATAAAAGCATTTCATGATGTTCTTCAGATGGATGGAGAATGTGTTCCATATAGCACCAAAAAGGGTTCTGCCATCGTTACAAGCTTGACGTTCTGACAAAGCAGAACCGTTTTTGGTACTACACAGAAACATTTTCAAAAAGGTTCTATATAGAACCATATACAACACATTGTCCATTATCCCCAAGAACCATTTCACCATGCAAAGAGCCATTTAAACATGCAAAAAGTAGAACCATTTCATGATGAAATGGAATCCTTTATTGCAATTATTTACATCACAATTAATTTTCAGATAAAATTCATGATCGTGACAGTTTTCTGATCTGGGGTTTAGGACTTTAGGAGCTGTTGGTCCAAACTGATGTTGTTATGGTGACTAAACAGATAAGATTTCAGAGTTGGGACGTTTCTGTAAGCGTGTTTTGTCAATGTATCGCATCCTATCGTATCATGTGCATCGTATCGTGACGGTTCTCCGTCCTGGTCGCTGGCCTGCGCTGCACATCAGAGCTGCAGTGATTGCAGCTGGGATGCCAACTGTAAACCGATCCGCGTCTCTTCTTTTTTTCCGGCTCTGTTTGTGACTGGCATGTATCGATGAGTCCATGGAAATTCCCGTGAAAACAGAAGAGCAGGTGAGCTGTCGGGGTGCCAGCGGTGACGATGCCCACGTGGCACTGCCCCGCAAAAGCCCAAGGAGCGAAGCTGAATGCTGCCTTTTGTCCCGCCGGCCTTTTCCTCTGAGGTCACTTTTGCTTTATTTCTGGGAAAACATAATTAGGGTCTGTCGGGCCGGCTCGAGTTACGGCGGAGATTCCTCTGGGCAGACGGATGGTTTTTTTCGGGGAGGACGGGGCGGGACGGGGCAGGGGGGGGGTGCAGTTAAAGCCCCACAGTTGATGACTGTGATTCCAGTAAGGGCCCAGCTCAGACCTCGATAATGGCCTTCATTACGGGCGAAAGGGCCAAGAACGCCATGCTGGCTTTCGCTCAGATGCACTCCTGCCTCGCTAGACTGGCCTTCAGTGAAATGAGCTCCTGTCTTGCTCAGCTGCCTTTCAGTAAACATGTACAAATGTCCTGGAAAACTGTCTTTCGCTGAAATTCTCTATTGTTCAGCTGAGCTACACTTTAGTTTGCTGCCTTTGCTGGCTTTCAGTAAAACACTCCCTCATCTTGATAAGCTAATTTTTGTAAGTCTTCTTTTATTGAAATGCCCTTCTGTCTTGCTGTGCTGGCTCTTGGTAAAATGCTCTTTTGCCTTGCTAAGCTAACTATCAGTGGAATGTGCTTCTGACTTGCTAAGCTATGTTGCAGTAAAATGCTTTCCTGTCCTGCTAAGCAGTCTTTCAAAATAAAACACACTCCTGTCCTGTTACACTAACGTTCAGATATACGCCCTCTTGTATTGCTAAACCAGCCTTAAACTATTGCTCTGTTTTCAGTACAACGCCTTCCTGCAGCCTCCTGTTCTTCTTAAGCTGTCTTTTAGTACAATTTGTCCTTTCTTGCTAAGTTGCCTTTCTGTAAACTGTTCTCTTACCTTGTTAGACCAGCTTCCATCAAAATGCCTGCATGTGTAGTTAAACTGTGTAGTTTCACTTAAATAAATTTCTGCCTTGCTATGGCGTCTTTCTATAAAATGCTGTTCTGACTCACTAAGCTATCTTAAAAAATAGGCCTCTGTCTTGTTATTCTGGCTTTGAGTAAAATGCCCTCGTGTCCTGCTAAGTGGCCTGTTTGGAAGATGTTGGTACGCTAACTTTCAGTAAAATGCCCTCTTGTATTGCTAAACCAGCCCTAAACTGTTCTGTCTTGCTAAGCTAGCCCTCTGTCTTCTTATTGCAGTTCTTGCTATGTAAACTGTTCTCTTGCCTTGCTAGGCTCGCTTTCAGGACAATGACCTGCTGTCTTGCTTAATTATCCTTTAGGAAACTGTTCTTTCTCCCTGCTGTGCTGTCTTTCAGTAAAACGCCGTCCTGTCTTGCTAAGATGGCTTTCTACAGAACGCCCTCCTGCCTTGTTAGGCCAGCTCCCACTGAACAAAGCCTTGGCCGAGGCCGAGGCATGTGCCGTTGTAATCGCTAATAGCCGGGCCGTCTGTCCAGTGACAGCCGCCTGGCAGGGTTTCTCCTGTCATGCGTTGCTTGGCACCAGCCTCTTGCCCCAGTTGCTGTAGCAGCAGGTTTGTGTCATCTGCCTCATCGTTAAGCTGGGCCGGGCTAAGCAGCTGGACTTAATTACCAATTAATGGCGAGCGTCTAGACGGCAAATTTGTTGTGAAAAGATTTGCTTTGGCTCTCCACAAGGCTGCTCTGTCCCTGGGACAGGCGGGCGACGCAAGGCTGAGAACACTGCTTTTAGCGTTTACTGAAACTGTTGGAGTGAGTAATGTGAAAGTTTCCCAAGACTTTGGAATCACATATAGAGATATAACTAATTATGCAAATGATACGCAAAGCACTAAAGCCTCCTTGCGCCCACGAGTTACCCTGAGATCATTCTTCAGCATCGGATTGATTGTTTTATCCCCAGATAGCACAGATTCCTAGTACGCTGATAAGGATCAACTTCCAGTTCTATTAAAAGAAAATTCACCAGTGGTTTACACAGCAGATCTGGAGATAAGACGCTGAGAAACGGGGAACTTTTGAAGCGTCTCTAGATGTTTCACAGAGGAGAAAGAGAGAAAGAGCGAGAGAGACTGAGGAACAAATCCTCATCAACAACGCTCCATTCATGAAATGGCTGCCTTCACAGGCCTCAAGCTTGGTGGTCACGAGTCAGTGTCATCCCTGGGAATCATTTGATCATCTGCAAAGCCTCAGCGCTTATTTTTCCTCCTCCGTGTGTCACACTCGGCCGATCCTCCCTAACTCGCCCTCTGATCGGAACATTGCAGAAACAGGAAATGAGGTCAGAGTTGAGATGTTTTCGCATGATTGGCCCTTATCTCCCCAGAGATGTTGAACAAATCCCTTCGCTCTGTCTCTTCGCTGGAGGAGCTCTCAGAACAAGCTCCATCCCCCCCTCCACCAGCCCCCCAACCTATTTTTAGGCCTGTTTGTACCAAAACAAAATCCCGACCAGCTCCTAATTGTTTTCAGCCTGCAGAGACGTTTTTTCTCCCTCGGCCGAGCCCAGAAGGGAGCCGCGGCGTTCGCAGGGTCATGGCAAAGGAGTTTTTAGAAGTTAACTTTTTCCATGGTTACGATTGCCGTTTTCACATATTTGAAAGTTTTGATCAGAACCAGTCATCGTTGAAGCTTTTGCGTCACTTATCATGTGGGCGGAATAACGTGTACCCTCCAAAAAGTGATGTGTTAAATGACACACTGCAAAAAAATGATATCTTGGCAAATAAAATGATCTTAAATCCTGTCAAAAAGATTATGTAATTTGATTCTAAACCTTTTTTTACCTTTGTTTTAAGTGAAATTATCTCACTGTTTTGGCAACAACAAACAAAATTATCTGCCTATAATGAGAATTTGACTCACTTGAAGTGAATAGAAATGAGAATTATTAGACATTTATTTAATTAAATTTAATTAAATTTCAATTAAATTTAACATGATTTCACTTGCAGTGCAACACACATACCTGTCTTACCCATTTAACTCATTTTGTGTGCCTTTGTTTTCTGTTTTAACACATTGTTTTAAAAGAAAGGTTGCTGAACAGGCATAGTTGTTCAAGGTACAAATAATGAATGTACTCTGAAAGGTACAACATGGTCCTTGAGGTCCAGTTGTGCACCGTGTATACCTTGTTCACTTTCACAGGGGAAAGGTGCATATCTGTTATTTTGGATACGCTAACAAGCTTAGAGTTGAGACAGAGTGTTTCAGTCAGTGGAACTTAAGAACATATAATTGCAACGGAATACAGTACAGTTATGTTCCCGAACTAAAGGTACTGAAGACGTACCCCTGAGGTACCACCTCAGGGACAGTTTAGTACCCTTTTTTTGGAAAGTGTACCGTCAAATCAAATCTTTCTGGAGATATAAGGTGTTCTTATGACATGGTGCTATATAGCCCACACGAGTGCAGTGCACTTGCGGTGCTAACTAGCGTTAGCTTTGCATCATTCATCTAAAACTCTTCCTCCCTCTTTCTTCAGACCCAAGCCCCCTCCGCCGGAGGGCGCCAAGTCGAACCCGTCCAAGCGGCACAGGGATCGACTTAATATGGAGCTGGACAAGCTGACCAACCTGCTTCCCTTCTCCGAGGATGTGCGCTCTCGGCTGGACAAACTCTCGGTGCTCAGGCTCAGCGTTGGCTACCTGAAGGTCAAGAGCTTCTTCAACGGTGGGTTTCTTGCCTTTCCATCTTTTTGCTAAGAGCTTATACTTTCAGCTATGGCTTGAGCTTCCAACATGCTAGTATGGCTAGAACTAAATGAAACCTAGTAGTTAGAATTGTTTGCATGATGCTAATTTGTTTTAAGTAGTTTTGATGATTATCATCACTGTTAGCATCTTTGGAGGAAGTACCTTTTTAAGTCTGAAGAGAATAACATGAAGCATCATGATTGAGCAGCAGCCTAAGTAGCTGTTTCCCAGAGTTCAGACACATGATTTTACTGAAATAGGTTCTCAGCTGCTCTCTCTCTCTCTCTCTCTCTCTCCTTTCTTTTTATCTCGCCGTCTCTCTTTGTTCTTGCAATATCCATGACAAGGCATTTCTTTTGATCTGCAGCCAAGAAATGTTTGTTGATGTTTTAATGGTATCCATTAGCCTCTTGTAGTGACCCAGTAAGCCTCCTCCTGGAGACCTGCTTCCCCCCTTACTTGACATTGATTAACCTGATCCAGCCAATCAAGGACTTCTGAAGAAGTGAATTAGTGGGAGCAGGTGTGATTGAAACTAGACTCCACAGGAAGGTAGATCTTCAAGACAGGGGCCGGTGACCAAGTGGCAGCATTTAGAGGATACTGTAGGGCATCATTGCAAGGATGTCAGTGCAGGGGCATCATGGCAGGGACACAATAGCAGTGACACCAGTGCATGGGTGCCATTGCAGGGGTATCTCTGTGTGGGCGTCACTGCAGAGGCATAATTGCAGGGGCATGATTGCAAGGCTGGGAAAGAAGGGGCATCGTTGCAGGGGTATTATCACAGGCATATCATTGCAGGGGCATCATTGCAAGGGTAGGAAAGAAGGGGCATCATTGGAGGGGCATTATCACAGGCGTATCATTGCAGGGGCATCATTGCAGATTTGGGAAAGAAGGGGCATCATTGGAGGGGCATTATCACAGGCGTATCATTGCATGGGCATCATTGCAAGGTTGGAAAAGAAGGGACATCGTTACAGGGGCATTATCACAGGCATGTCATTGCAGGGTCACCATTGCAAGGGTGGGAAAAAAGGGGCATAGTGACAGCCATCATTGCCGGAGCATCATTGCAGGGGTGTGCCTAAAGGGGCATCATTGCGGGGACATTGTTGCAGGGGCTTTATTGCAGGACCTTCATTGCAAGGACTTCACTGAAGGGCCATCATTGCATGAGTATCTTTGCAGGGGCATCTTTGTAGAGGCATCACTGCAGCTGTATCTTTGCAGGGGCATTATTGCATGAGTATCTTTGTATAGGCATCATTGCAGCCATATCTTTGCAGGGGCCTCACTGAAGGGACATCTTTGCATGAGTATCTTTGCAGCGGCATCTTTGCAGAGGCATCAGTGCAGCCATATGAGTGCAGGGGTATCATTGTGAAGGTGTGACTCTAAGGGCATCATTGCAGGAGCATCATTGCACAAGTTTCTTTGCAGGGGAATCATTGCAGAGGCACAATTGCAAGGGTATCTTTGCATGAGTATCTTTGCAGAGGCATCCTTGTAGACATTATTTCAGGGACATCATTCCAAGGGTGTCACTGATTGCGAAAATATTGTCGCAAGGGTGTCATTGCAGGGGTATCAAGACAAGGGTAGAATAGCAGAGGCATCATTTCAAGGGCATCATTGCAGAGGCATTATTTGTAGAACATAGTTAGGAGGCGTCATTGCACGAGCAGGGGGGCTGCAATCTGTGCGTCAGTAGTTTCTTGCACAAGTTTGGTAACATGCTTACAGGTACAATAAAAGCATTTGTACACTTACTCTTCCTCAGAAGGTTGGTATCTCTATATTTTCCACTGTAACACAATATACATATACAGGCAATGACTCTTGTAAAATCCTAAAAATAGTTTTTGTTTGTGAACGTCTTTCACCATCCTGCCCACAGATATGATGTTCCACTTTGTAGCGGTCAGCCTAATTGTAAAATGGACCAGCTAGCAGACGCTTATAGCTATTTATACTCAGGTTAATGCGCTTAGCTAAAGAGGCTATTAAAATATCACTTTATCGAGGCTTGTGGTCAACCAAATCTACCACTCAGTCTGTTTTTGCTGGTTGCTAACTTCCCGTTTTTGGAAATGCCTATTCTGCCCTTTGTATGCCAGCTTAGACTTCCCAGCACACCTTGGGCTGAACGAGGCGTAAACCTTGAGCCCTAATGACCTTTCCTCTTAATGGTAGCTGCCACAATCTTCTTTCTCCACCATTTCTGCCTCTCACCCACCACACACACTCCCATACACTCCTCCCTGTGAACACACACACCTCCTCTCAGCACAGGAAAGTGGGTCAGCGGTCTCAGGTCCTCTTCCTTCCTGGCTGAGAAAGCACACGCCTGACGAGAAGAGGCTTCACCTTCAGCGGGCTATTCTTTCACCCTCACATCCCCAAGAGACTGTCTCGCTGTGCATGTGCGCCAAAACAAAACAGCCATTTCAGTTCCTCTTTTCGAGACGCTTACACATATGAAGGTCGTCAGTGAAATATTTCAGGAGATAAAATGACTGTCAGCAGTTCTAATGATACATAAGGAAAATTAGCAGGTAAAATTTATCGCAATTAAGGATTATCAGCAGGTAAAATTAACTATAATTGAGGTTTATCACAGGTAAAGTGAACTGTAAGTAAAATTAGCAGACAAAATTATTTTTTTTCGAGGTTTATCAGCAGATTTAATGAACTATGCATAAAATTAACAAGTAAAATGAACTATAAACAAGGATTAACAGAAGCGTAAATTAACTATAAAAATAAAGCGGGGAAAATTAACTATGAGTAAAATTAGTTGGTAAAATGAACTATAATAAAGGTTTTTTAGCAGGTATATAATTAATATTATATAATTATATAATTAATATTGTATTAATATAATTAATATTATATAAGTAAGATTTATCAGCAAGTTAAATGAAATATAAGTAAAATTAACAGGTAAAATGAACTATAATTAAGGTTTATCATCAAGTTTAATGACCTATTAGTAAAATTAACAGGTAAAATGAGCTATAATTATGGTTTATCAGCAGGTATATATCAATTTAGCAGTTCAAGTGAACTACAAGTAAAATTAACAGGTAAAATGAACTACAATCAAGGTTTATCAGCAGGTTTTAGTGAACTATAAGTAAAATTAACAGGTAAAATTAACTATAATTGAGGTTTATCAGCAGGTTTAATGAACTACAAGTAAAATGAACAGATAAAATGAACTATAATTGAGGTTTATCAGCAGGATTAATAAACTATAAGTAAAATTAACAGGTAAAATGAACTATAATCGAGGTTTATCAGCAGGTTTTAGTGAACTATAAGTAAAATTAACAGGTAAAATTAACTATAATTGAGGTTTATCAGCAGGTTTAATGAACTACAAGTAAAATGAACAGATAAAATGAACTATAATTGAGGTTTATCAGCAGGATTAATAAACTATAAGTAAAATTAACAGGTAAAATGAACTATAATTGAGGTTTATCAGCAGGATTAATAAACTATAAGTAAAATTAACAGGTAAAATGAACTATAATCGAGGTTTATCAGCAGGTTTAATGAACTATAAGTAAAATTAACAGATAAAATGAACTATAATTGAGGTTTATCAGCAGGATTAATAAACTATAAGTAAAATTAACAGGTAAAATGAACTATAATCGAGGTTTATCAGCAGGTTTTAGTGAACTATAAGTAAAATTAACAGGTAAAATGAACTATAATTCAGGTTTATCAGCAGGTTTAATGAACTACAAGTAAAATGAACAGATAAAATGAACTATAATTGAGGTTTATCAGCAGGATTAATGAACTATAAGTAAAATTAACAGGTAAATTAACTATAATCGAGGTTTATCAGCAGGTTTAATGAACTATAAGTAAAATTAACAGGTAAAATTAACTATAATCAAGGTTATCAGGAGGTTTAATGAGCTATAACTAAAATTAACAGGTAGAATGAACTATAATTAAGATTTTTCAGTAGATATACAAAGTATAAAATTAGCATGTAAAATGAACGTCAAACAAATTTAGGCAGGTAAAATAAACTCTAGCTAAGGTTTAGCTGGTAAATTGACAAATAAAACATTAATAGTAAACAAATAGGAAATAATGCAGTCAGTATTTAATAAGTGTTAAATGTTTTAAATAAATGTCAAATAGTTTATAGTCTTATGCGACAGATACTGTAGTAGATAATAAACGATTATATAACAAAGTAACAAACTGAATTTCATGTGTAATTGTATTATTTTGTGAGTGTAGGTAACACTTGAGGGCAACTATGAGTGAACTTGAGTTGGTCCATGTTAAGAAATGATCCTGCGAACTTCCTCAAAGAAGTGAAATGTTAAAATGGTTATCAGTATGAACAGCAAAGACTGGCTGATTTGCACCTGGTGTACAGGTACTCTGTGAGTGGCGAGGCCGAGGCTCAGTAAGAAGACAATAAAACAGTCAGCAGCTTCCTTTTTTTATTTTTAACACATTTTTAAAAATGAAAATAAGCTGAGAATATTGTTTTAGCTGAACATAAACATGTACTTGAACATGTACGCAGTGGGATCTCCGCCCTCAGATCAGTGCATACTCTTTCACGGCCCTAACTGAAGCGGGTAAAAGCCGCGGCGCGCGCTGCAGGTATGCGGTGAATGTGAGGAATGCGGCGGTGGAGGGAGAGAGCGCTCGGTGTGAGGAGGAGGAGGAGGAGGAGGAATCATGGCACCATCAATCAGTTAGAGGGGAGATAAACACTCAGCGCTGCAGTACAGAAGTGCTGAATCAGGGTGTGTGCAGCGTCCTGACAGAAACCTCTGACCTCACACACACACACACACACACACACACACACACACACACACACACACACACATACTTTGTGAATTACGTTGGAAAACAAAACTCATTAGAACCAACAAAAGCAAATAAACATTGTTATTAATGATTAATGTTACCATTTAAAGCTAC